CGCACACACGTATTGCTCTCCCTTATTCGCCTCCCTCTCCCTCATTTATTAATTTACTTGCGTATTGCAAGGTTCGTTTAATTTCTCGTTCGCACTCCCTCCCCCTTCCCCCTCCCTTTCTGTTTCTTCGCTGCTTCCGTCTCTCCACTAGATCAGAAGCGTAAAAGGTTCGTCACACGATCGCAGCGTCTTTTTTTTTTTTTATTTTCTACCTGTAAACTTCTTAATGGAATGCTGCAGTATAAATAGGAGATATCGGTAATCGGTAAGAACGAGGTGATCTAGTCGCTTTTCGGTTAAACCTGACTTACGTCCCCTTTACAAACTATTCCCCCCCTCCCTTTTTTTTTTTATTTATTGTTACAACGTTTCGCACGTTTTTCGAAACACGAAATCGCGGGAACCGGGTGAGTCTCACTTCGACGAGAAAACCGAAAAAGTCCCCCTTCGGTTGGTATCGCGGCGACAATAACAGGGGAAAAGACAAAAAAGAAAAGAATCACAGAAAGTCCCTAGAACGAGCGAACGTTGTCCTACAATTTTGATCTACGTCGCCATGACAGGGTCGCCGGAACGTTTGTTCACGTCTTCTTTCTTTATCTAGTGAAAACTACGATTACTACCGTTGATTTTATTGGCAAAGAGGATTGGATTTTCCGTTCGCGAGGCGTTGGTCGGAACGAAATAACGATCCGCGTGTATTCTTTCATTCGTACGAATTCGTGGAACGAATAGTTGTTTACGTAGGAACGAGTCGTCGTGTGCGATGCAAGTATGTGTATTTAAAGTGAGAGCTGTAAAATTCCCGGGGAGCTGCTGCCTTCGACACTGCGATTTTTTGATTCGGGTGAACGTTCGAGGTTTTCGAAGTTCTTCTTGCCTATGCCTAACCTATAAATCGCGGAAACTTTAGTGACTAAGACGCGCCTCGTCCGGACTCGTCCGTCGTCGACCTCTTCTCGATCAGCGTCTCTCTCTTTCTCTCTCTCTCTCTCTCGTAGTTTTGTCGTATGCGGCGTATTCCAGAGATTGAAAAGCACTCTCTTTCATGTCATCTCGTCGAAAGAGCTTCGCTCTGGATAGCCCTCTGTCCGATCGACGAGAACACAGTGCGCGATGACTCGTACGAACGCGTTTTTTTTCTTTCTCTCTCTCTCTCTCTTTCGAAGTGTTTAACAAAAATATCTCGACACACGCGCTGTTCAACGTTCTCAGAGTCGGTCTGTGGTTCGATCGGCACACGCACCGAGATCGAGATCGAGATCGAGGCTGTTTTTACTGTGCGTTGTTCGGCAGGATTCGACTTCGGCTTGCGCCCGTAACGAGCGATGATTTTGTCGATTTAAAAACTCTGAGCGCCATATCCTCTCTCTAATCGTAATGTTTGCAATAGAATCGTCGTTCCACTAAGAAGCTAGGATTATTCTCAAGATATGTCTGTGTGTACGCGCGCGCGCGTGTATGTCGTGACAATTGCAAATTTTTTTTCCTTTTTTGTTTTTTTTTGCTCTCTTGTAATTGCTTATCTTTACTTAGCCTACGATTAGAAACGGTAAAATCTCTCATCTTTCCTTCTTTTGCTGCGACTTCTCTCCACTCCTTCCGTTCCTCCCCCCC